AGGATGCACCTCGAGTCAGACAGCTGTGAATAGTATAGCTGTGAACAGTACAGCTGTGAAACAATAGGTCAGGATGCACCTCGAGTCAGACAGCTGTGAACAGTATAGCTGTGAACAGTACAGCCGTGAATAGGTCAGGATGCACCTCGAGTCAGACAGCCTGTGAATAGTATAGCTGTGAACAGTACAGCTGTGAAACAATAGGTCAGGATGCACCTCGAGTCAGACAGCTGTGAATAGTATAGCTGTGAACAGTACAGCCGTGAATAGGTCAGGATGCACCTCGAGTCAGACAAGCTGTGAATAGTATAGCTGTGAACAGTACAGCCGTGAATAGGTCAGGATGCACCTCGAGTCAGACAGCCTGTGAATAGTATAGCTGTGAACAGTACAGCTGTGAAACAATAGGTCAGGATGCACCTCGAGTCAGACAGCTGTGAATAGTATAGCTGTGAACAGTACAGCCGTGAATAGGTCAGGATGCACCTCGAGTCAGACAAGCTGTGAATAGTATAGCTGTGAACAGTACAGCCGTGAATAGGTCAGGATGCACCTCGAGTCAGACAGCCTGTGAATAGTATAGCTGTGAACAGTACAGCTGTGAAACAATAGGTCAGGATGCACCTCGAGTCAGACAGCTGTGAATAGTATAGCTGTGAACAGTACAGCCGTGAATAGGTCAGGATGCACCTCGAGTCAGACAGCTGTGAACAGTATAGCTGTGAACAGTACAGCTGTGAAACAATAGGTCAGGATGCACCTCGAGTCAGACAGCTGTGAATAGTATAGCTGTGAACAGTACAGCCGTGAATAGGTCAGGATGCACCTCGAGTCAGACAGCTGTGAATAGTATAGCTGTGAACAGTACAGCCGTGAATAGGTCAGGATGCACCTCGAGTCAGACAGCCTGTGAATAGTATAGCTGTGAACAGTACAGCTGTGAAACAATAGGTCAGGATGCACCTCGAGTCAGACAGCTGTGAATAGTATAGCTGTGAACAGTACAGCCGTGAATAGGTCAGGATGCACCTCGAGTCAGACAGCTGTGAATAGTATAGCTGTGAACAGTACAGCCGTGAATAGGTCAGGATGCACCTCGAGTCAGACAGCCTGTGAATAGTATAGCTGTGAACAGTACAGCTGTGAATAGGTCAGGATGCACCTCGAGTCAGACGGCTTTGAATAGTATAGCTGTGAACAGTACAGCCGTGAATAGGTCAGGATGCACCTCGAGTCAGACCGCTGTGAATAGTATAGCTGTGAACAGTACAGCCGTGAATAGGTCAGGATATGCACCTCGAGTCAGACAGCTGTGAATAGTACAGCTGTGAACAGTACAGCCGTGAATAGGTCAGGATGCACCTCGAGTCAGACGGCTGTGAATAGTACAGCTGTGAACAGTGCAGCTGTGAATAGGTCAGGATGCACCTCGAGTCAGACAGCTGTGAACAGTATAGCTGTGAACAGTACAGCCGTGAATAGGTCAGGATGCACCTCGAGTCAGACAGCTTTGAATAGTATAGCTGTGAACAGTACAGCCGTGAATAGGTCAGGATGCACCTCGAGTCAGACCGCTGTGAATAGTATAGCTGTGAACAGTACAGCCGTGAATAGGTCAGGATATGCACCTCGAGTCAGACAGCTGTGAATAGTACAGCTGTGAACAGTACAGCTGTGAAACAATAGGTCAGGATGCACCTCGAGTCAGACAGCTGTGAATAGTATAGCTGTGAACAGTACAGCCGTGAATAGGTCAGGATATGCACCTCGAGTCAGACAGCTGTGAATAGTATAGCTGTGAACAGTACAGCCGTGAATAGGTCAGGATGCACCTCGAGTCAGACGGCTGTGAATAGTATAGCTGTGAACAGTACAGCTGTGAATAGGTCAGGATGCACCTCGAGTCAGACAGCTGTGAATAGTATAGCTGTGAACAGTGCAGCTGTGAATAGGTCAGGATGCACCTCGAGTCAGACAGCTGTGAATAGTACAGCTGTGAACAGTACAGCTGTGAATAGGTCAGGATGCACCTCGAGTCAGACAGCTGTGAATAGTATAGCTGTGAACAGTACAGCCGTGAATAGGTCAGGATGCACCTCGAGTCAGACGGCTGTGAATAGCACAGCTGTGAACAGTACAGCTGTGAATAGGTCAGGATGCACCTCGAGTCAGACGGCACGATCGCGGGGTCCGCGCACCGCCAAACAAAAGCCTCTTGACTTCAGACCCCCCCCCGCTCCCCCCCTCCGGACAGTTTAGCATACTATTCACAGCTGTACTATTCACAGCAAGCTCGCGGGGTCCGCGCACCGCCAAACAAAAGCCTCTTGACTTCAGACCCCCCCCCCCCCCCCCC